ATCATCTAACACCCCTTATTCCCTCGTCAGGTTGCTCACATGTTCGCAGCAGTGGCACAGCAGCAATTGTCTCAGCAGACAATGGTATGGATGGCATTACACGCACGAGAAATATACGATATCGACATCCAAGTGGAAGCACCAAATATCTTATTCCCTCAGAGGTTTGTAAAATGGATACCTTTTTTTATGTATGTATGCATGCATGCACGTATGTATGTATGTATGTATGTATGTATGTATGTATGTATGTATGTATGCATGTATGTATGTATGTTTGTATGTATGTATATATATATGTATGTATGTATGTCTGTATGTATGTCTGTATGTATGTATGTATGTATGTATGATTTGTGTCGCTTCTTTTCTGCTGGTATGTTTTGCCTTGATGCTGCCTGTATAATTGCTATATTTGCGTATGTATTCATGTACGTATGGAAGTAGCATGTGAGTTTATGCTTCATGTGTGTATTGGTTGTTTAAATTTGTATTGATGTACGTAGTATGTGTGTGTATGTATCATATATGTTATTTTCCGAGATGTCTCCTTATAGTCGTGTATGTTTGTGTCTATTGTTGGATATAGTAGGTGTGTATGTGCATGTATCATATCTATACTTTTCTGATGCGTGTTTGGCATTTATTGGTGGGTATGGGCTATATAAGCAATGCAATCTACAAATTAATACTTATTAAAGTAGTACCAAATATAAATACTTTTAATTCTAAAAAAGTAGTATTAATCATTACAGTATCAATTAAAAAGGACATTGCTTGGATGTTGTTAGATGGACGAGAGACGTACGATATCGAGTCTATTAATAGATTGCAATACATTGTTATATTTATAGACTCGATGATCCAGAGAGTGCGCTGGTCAGTATGGATCTGGGTCGGTTCTTTAGCCATATTTACCCTTCCATTGTGTTCTATAATTAGAGGTCTCCCGCCATTCTATTTATAGACCGCTCTCCATTCTATTTATAGACTGTACGACTCCCCAGGGTGCCCTGGCCATTATGGATCTGGGTCGGTTGCACGTGGTTTCGCAAACAAACGACCGCCAGTCCGCACGCGTGCAGCAGAAACACTCACTCGCCCACACTGGCTCAGACAACGAGTTTGCTACCCCTCCCGAAAGCATGGAGGATCTACCCAGGAAGGATAGCAAGACACAAGCAGGTAGGTAGGGCCTACCGGTGCGTGTGTAGATTTA